TTCGGCCGAAGTGTATATTGGGTTGAGTTGGGTTTAATTGAAAGCCGGAATTGGCAGCTTGGGCGCGTGGTGAGGCTTTCTTCTTGAAAAGCGCCTTAATGAGCGGGTTTTTCCGGTTCTTTTGGGAGGCTTTACCCGCTCGGCTTTGGTGTTCCGCCGTGAAGAGATGGTTTTTTCTCCGACGCGTCGTTCAGGCGTACTTCATCAGTTGCGAGTCCCATTATATTGATCTTGTACGGAGCATTGGGATGCGGGGGCAAATGGTTTTGCAACGACGCGAGGCGGCTGCGAAATATATCCAACATGTCTTTGAGTTAAAGTGGTTGTTTCAACTGCACGAAGTCATGTTGTTGGAAGAGCAACATCGCCTGAGGTTGTGTGTGGAGGAGGGGCGTAACGCCAGTCAGTTGTTGGAACAAATGATGGCAGTTTCAAAGGTGCAGTTGGAGTATTTTATGGGGCGCGAGGAGGCGAGGGCAGCTGCGGCTGTGCGTGTCACTTGCCATGCGGATACCGAGGGAGTTGTTGCTTCCAGCCAAAGCGATGAAAAGAGCGACAACACGCAGGATATCCACGTGGCATCTTCTTCTTGTTCCTTTTCTTTTGCTGAGACGCCAAATGAAAGAATTTATGAGAAGGGAAACGCAAATGGGTTGGAGGAGCTTCTTTTTGAAATGTTGCTCAGTGAAAATCGGGAAAAACACGCCCTGAGGCTTGAGCTCTGTTTACTACGACGCCAGCTTGCTGAGTACACGGAGATGAACTTTGACAGGCGATCCTCACTCTGCAACGTCACGGAATGCGATGGAAATGATTGAGGGACAGGGCCTGTGCAACCACCAACGCGATGGAGCCTTGGCAACAACAACAACGGCAACGAAACCGCGTCAGCACGGGCGAAGAGAGACGTGTAACGTGCTTCCTATTCCATTGTCGTCGTCTACACCGCCTGCTTCTTCCGCTGAGCATGTTTTTATTAGTTGTTTCGGTAACGTAGTACATACGGCCACGTAAACAGGAGGAAGTTTTTTGGTTGAATTTCCAGTGAAACTTGTGACGATGCGGTGTGGTCTCCGCGCTACAAACTGTTACTGCGGAAACGACTCGGCGGTCTTTGATGCTCAAGAGCAGCTGCGCACGCTGACGCTGGTGGTTACAATATTATGCATATATATATATATATATATATGTACATATGTATTGGGCGAGAGAGATGGGCGGGTGCGAGAAACCACTTCAGTTGAAACGAAGACAAAGACTGTGCGTCCAATTTTATTCTTGAGAAGATCACCAATTTTTCCCCCGCACTTCTTTGATGTATTTTATTTATTTATTGTTTTATCTTCTGTTTTTTTTTTTTTTTTGTTGTTGTGTGTGTGTGTCTTCAATGATTTACTGCCGTAGAGAGAGAGAGAGAGGGAGAGAGCCGTGCTTCGGACTGTTCGTAGAGACCCACTGCATACGGCAAAGTTGGCTGGAGGCCTCCGTGGGAAGGGAGAGCGGAACCATTCAAAAGAGGAAAAATACAAACAACAACAGCAAAATCAGTCAATAAAACAATCAGGAGGAAGAAGTGAGTAAAGGACCGTGAAGGATGTCACTGTATTTTGTAAATGGTGTTGTGAGTCAGGGCGTCGTTGATGCGGAGCTCGTCTTGGCGCACCCCATTCTGCCCATTGTGGCGTCTGTGTGGAAAGGGCCGGCGCACCTGCTAGTAACAGATGCCGAAGGTGAGTTTATTGCCGATAGCGGAGCACAATTGGCATTGAAAGACGCAGGCAGCATCACTTCCATGGCGTGGCATCCCACACATCCGGCATTGGCGATTGGGTGCTCGTCTGGGAGACTTATGATGTGGTCACTTCCCCCGGTAAAGAAAACAGCCATCTCCATGATCCCACTAGAGCCACCGGTAGATACTGAAAAGGCATTACCACAGCACGACGAAGGTTCCGTGACGGCGTGCGTGTGGTCTGGTGGCGGGACATACTTGCTGACCGCATCGAAAAAGCTGCGTGTGGTAATGTGGATGGTGGAAAGCACGACTGTGAACACGGGGGGAAATGATAAGGATGGTGCCGCGACAATGATGCGATTTAGACTTTTACCACTGTGGTCTGTGCCAACAGAGGTGGTTATTTTGCAAGCACTGCACGTCACCTCTTCTATTGTGCTGTCTCTCCAGCAGTCTGCACAACGGTTGCAACGGTACAACACGGAAGGTACTTTATTGCCGACGCCCGCTTCTCATCGTGGCATAGATGATGAGGGCGATGAGTGCGCGTTTTTTCTTGCTAGCACCGGTGACAAACACATTTTTGCACTAACAGAGGATCGGAAGCTTTTCCCACTTTGCTCACTGGACGAACCGCTCATGACGGTACTTTACGACTCAGCAGAACGGCAACTTGTTGCGTTGAGCGTAGCGAATGTGATTAGTATATACCACGTCTCAGAAGAGTTTAAAGTGAAAATATTTCTTCGCCGTAAATTGTCGACTCCAAACGTCAAGACAGAACGATTTACGCTGACGATGCTGTGGGCCACACCAGGAGTTCTTGCGTTTGGGTGTGGGGACAATCGGGTGCGTTTTTTTGACATTCGTGACGACCGGGTGTATGTTTTGTCGCATCCAGCGCTAGCTGCTGCTCACATCACGCACATTGCAACTCTTCTGAAGAAAGGTTTATTAGCCATGGCAACCGCAGAAGGGCCGCTCGCCGTATTTCAGCGAAATGCAGAGGCATATTTTAATGGGAACTCTGCCACCACGGCGGCCGTCAATTCGGGTGCTGAAAAGATGGACAACTGCCCCATGGGTGGCAATATAAGTAAGGTGGAAAACGATCCGGCGGAGCAGTGGGACTTGTTGACTGTTGTTGATATGGAGGGATGCGTGGATCGCTTGAGCTTTACCACTGCGAGTCACATAGTTGTCGCTCTTGCGACGGGAAAAATGCAGGTTCTTCGCGAAACGGTCCGAAAACGTGCGTGGGATGGCGTTGTGGCCGCAACACAAATATCCATGGAAATGGTCGTGGTGGAGAGTGTCACTGGCTGCCAGTGTCTGTTGAAGAGTGGCAGTAAAATTCGCGGCATGGCTGCCGCCTTTCCCATTATTGGACTTTGGAATGGTCACCAAATAGACCTTTACACTGTCAGCGAGGCAAAGTCAACGGCTACCTTGACAAATTTCATACCGACAACAAGTCCAGCTTTTGCTGTGCATCCTGAGGGGCTATTTTATGTGAAGGATGCCAACCGCGTCTTGTTTACCAATTTCCAACTTGTGACAATTGGCCAAATTGCCTTTACCGAGACGGAAGGGACGCCGATTGTCATTGATGTGATGGGTGATGTTGTCGTGACCATTTCCTCCACGAATGCCATGCGGATAGCATGCGTGAGTGGGCGTGAATTACGTCAACTGGGTCCACCACGTCAACTCACACTTCCAGACGACAGTATAGTTGTGACCGATGCGAAGGTGAATGCGCAAGGCCGTCGTGTTGCACTCATGACACGTCGCATCGCGGACGATCTACCAGACAGCCGCATTTGGGTGTATGACTGCGATAGAGATTTACTGAATTTCTATGACTTTGCCGCACGTGGCGAGATACCCGACGCTGTCTACTGGAATACCCCAGAGCCGAACAGCAATACGATTGGCGAGCTTGGTTACCTTCTCTTGGCCTGTGAGACACATCAAATAAAAAACAACAACGTACCCCATTCAACGGATAGTACGGACGAAGGTGGCGAGTGCCTTACAAGGAATGATTCCTCGAAGGGACCAAAATTACAGAGTGATTCCTCTGTTATTGCTACAAGTCGTGCCGTAGATGTTCTGGGAATGGAGTCGATGCCCGACCTTGAGAACTTTGCAGAAAAGAAGCAGCGTGCGGAAGAGGAGAGTTATGCAGGCGGTTTTAGTGGGGTTAACCCTCACGCGAATCGCACACATTCCGTTGTGACTCTTTTTTCAACCAACAAGGGTCTTATTGTACACAATGCCGTCTTACTAAAGAAGTACCAAATTTGTTTAGTTGGCCTTACTGTTCCCGACTTTTTACTGGCCTCCGTGCGCATCAATGGTAACCCTAGCAATCCCGAGGACTACATGATTGAGCAAAAGCGACTGCGAGACTTTGAAGGGCTCAAAACGGAAAAAGACGTAGCGGTATTGGAGGCACTTATGAAGTTTAGCTACTACTCCACCATAGGCAATATGGATGAGGCATATCGCTGCGTCAAGACCATTAAAAACTCTACAGTTTGGCAAAGTCTCGCACGAATGTGCATCTCCTCCGGTCGTCTTGACGTCGCGGAGGTTTGTCTTGCGCAGATGCAGGATGGTGTTGCCGCTAGTGCTCTCCGAGAAGCCCGCACAAAGTACCCAGAGGAGAAGGATGTGCATCTTGCAACTCTTGCCTGTGGTCTTGGATTGGTGAAAGAGTGTGAGGATCTTCTGCGCAAGGCCAAGAGGTTTGACCTCATCACGGATCTGCTGTTGGCGTGCGGTAAGTTCGAACAGGCACAGCGACATGCGAAACAGTACGACCGCATCCACATACATCCGGTGGCGTATAAGTATGCGCAGTTTATGGAATCCTTTTCCAACTTTGACTCCTCCATTATGTGGTACTGTAACGCCGGTTGTCTCGCTACTGATGTTCCCCGTGTATTCTTTCAAAGTAATTGCTTGAACGAACTACGTGACCTCATCATGTCACCATCCGAGAAGGCGGCAAATGATGCGAGTCCCACCACGGGCAATTCCGATAATGCTGCGGGTGAGAAGCAAAGTAGCGGGAATGGAAATGGCAACAATGGACCATTGGGAACGGCATCTTCTGTCGAGGATGGAAAATTAGATGAGAACTCTGCGGGAGATGGTAGTGTGGCAAAACAACAGCCCAATTTTCGGCATCTCTTGGCGTACAACCGTGATCTTTTGATATGGTGGGCACAACACAGTGAGCGGAAACGTCAGTTTGCAGAGGCAATTAAGTTTTACATGTTAGCAAAAGATTTCTTCAATACTGTGCGGCTTCTCTATGCGGAGAATCCTCCACGAATTGAGGAAGCGATAGAACTGGTGGATAAGGAGATTGAAAAGGCTTGTATGCGAGCAAACAACGCCGCGGGTGTGGCCATTGCAAGAAGAGAATCGCCAACGACAGAGACGGAACCTGTGGGCGCAGCCTTCTTTGTCGGTCTACACTACGAACATTCTAATGATGTGCCGAATGCGTTGAAGTACTACAAACATGCTGGGGCTTGGCGGGCTGCCTCAAAGTTGGCAAAGGCACAACGGCGCTATGTGGATCTGCTTGCTTTGTCACTTGCGAGTGATGATACACAGCTTATGCTTGATAGTGCAGCATTTTTAGAGCGAAACAGTGTTTTTGACAAGGCTGTAGAATTGTATCACCGAATTGGTGATGTTCAAAAGGCCATTGATGTATGTATTAAGGGAGGACTTTATGATACAATGCATCGAATTAGCTCCACGTTAGATGCGCAAAGCGACCCGGAGGTGTTCATGCAGATGGCGGAGCACTTTGTTGGGAGCGGGCACTACAACAAGGCGGCAGAAATGTACATATTTGCAAAGGCGTTTCCTCGCGCTCTTGAACTTTGCACTTCGCACGGAGTGACACTTACAGATGAAATGGCGGAGTCGATGTCTTCAGATGCAAACTGTTCAAACCTATCGGGGGAGGAACGGAACGCGTTATTGCGGCAGATTGCAGGTATTGCAAAGGACCAGGGGAACTGGAACCTTGCCTGTAAGAAGTACACAGAGATTGGTGAACGGTTGAAGGCAATGAAGATGTTGATGCGTGGGGGTGATGTGAAGAAGGTCATTTTTTTTGCGAGTCACTCTCGAAATACGGAAATTTACACTCTCGCGGGGAATTTTTTGCAGTCCCAGAACTGGCACACGGATTCAAATATCTACAAACATATCGTTCTTTTTTACACGAAGGCGAAAGCTTTTAGTAACCTTATCTCTTTTATTGATGCCTTTGCTCAACTACAGATTGACGAAAACCGCAACTATTACGAGGCGTGGTGTGCGCTTAATGAATGTGTGCAGGTTTTGGAGCGTAACCGAGACGCTGTGTATGGAGGCAGCAGTATTATGGCAAAGGAGGAGGGTCTTCGAACGCGCCGTGATATTGTCCAACAGGTAGTGATGGCGCTGAAACTACTTGTTGACAGCGCATCTGACGACAAGAAGGCGAAGGAGCTTATCGCTGTTTGTTCTGACCTCATCAAACGCTCTCGACCAAATCACCAGGACAGTGCGAATGTTTTGGCGGCCATTCGAATCGGAGACGTCTTTGCACTTCTTGTGCGTTACTATTATGAAAACGACCGGTCAGCGAAGGATG